CTTATTGCTTACAGATGAGAAAGCTGAGCAACTGCAAAGGCCAGATCCCTGGTTCTGGTGTAGGACGGTATGATTCTAAGTCCCTATTAACATACCCCACCAGGAGAGTGCATGTGTATAAAAGGGTAGGGGAAGGAGGTGAGCTGGCATTTTCGTCTCAAGCCTAATTGCAGCCTCACACATAAAATCCTTTTTTTTTTCCCCCCAAGCGAATACTCTTTACTGAAGACAATTATTCTTTTTTCATTAATTTCTAGGTTGCTCAGTGTCCTGTGCAACCTTTCCTGTCCTGTTCTGACCCTCATCTACAAAGCTGTGCTCAACAGAGCATGCACTCATCAGAGAGAATCACTGTATCTCCTACTCAAACACCCACTTGACAAAGGAAGCCTTAAGTGTTCTGTGTTTATTTGCTTCTCTCTGTGACAATATATACACTGATTTCATCTAAAAATAAAGTAACATTTGTCAGGCAGCCTAGCTCTGGGCATGACAGGTTTTAAGTTAGACCTTAAAGCTTTGTGCTACCCAGTTGTGTATTAGGATAGCATCTTTAAGACAAAATGAAGCTGAAAGAACAATATATGACCTGAATTATTTGGAAAAAAAACATTACACAATGACCGGCCTTCTGTGTCCTCCCTCCAACTCCCTTTCATGCCTCAAAAGCTACCTTGGTTTGCGGGCAGTAAGTACAATTCAGCTGAATTTAGGCCTGTGTGGGCTTGATCGTATACTGAGCATGCAAAACTGTCTTCTTGGATGCTGTCAAGTGCCTGAATAGTACTATGAAACCAAGAATCAATAATCTTCTGCTAGAGACAGATCTCAAACAAAATCAAACTATATAAACAACTTTAGAAAGACAATGCTGTCATGTTTAGCCTTGCACCAATTATTTAGCCACGTGAAGCCTTAAAAAGTGGGACCAACTGCCGAATCAGAACTGGAAAAGCCATTGTATCCTATTCTGCCACTGCAGTGGAAGGAGGGAAATCAGATTGCTATGCACAGGGCCATCTTGATCTGAAATCCATATCACTTTTACAGTGAGACTACAGCATTACACTTGCAAAGTCAGCAGATGACAGTGAGATTTTTAACCTGGAAACTACTTAGAGAAAGTTGGATCTTTTATTAATAAATATTAATTAAAAAAGACCCATTATTTTCTAAAGTACCAAGTGCTTTTCCATCTCAAAGCGTACTGTTCTTTCCCATTCTGTGCAGAGAAGATGGTGCTGCAATAGGTTTCTTCTGGAAGGAAACAAAAGAGTACATAACCCATTAGGATCCAGCTGATGGGCTTCTGAATAAACACTTGCCTGCCTCATTGGGAGTAATTCCCAGCATACACTCTGTGCAAACTTCTGATCCCAGCTCACGCATAAAAGCTAAAAGCTCCACCTTCCCTACGACACGACACATTTATTAATTAGATATAAACATGATGTTTCGGATACAGAGTCATTGACAGATAACAACTGATGTCAGCTGGCATCCACTTCCTACAGTGTTATGCTCCCCTCATCTGAAACAGCTCTCCCACTGTGTCACATGACTGCTACACAGGATTCCTCCTCAATACGGTTTCCTTCAAACTTCAAATGTCTCCTTCCTTCGTTTGAGACAAACCTACAAAGGTACGAAGCACCTGCAAACCTCCAGGGATTTCTAAAGCAGTGCTGGACCTCAGAGTTGTGGAACTTTCCTTCTCTTTCAAAGAAATCAAAGGGGAAAAAAACCAGAAAAAATAAACATCTGTCATTACACTGTGGACCTTATAATTAGCTTAACTAGTACATTTCTGCTTCCCCTGAGGTGCATCGTAATGTGTATTTAATGAAATCCTCCTTTTCCCTATATCCCTAGCTGTTTTAAATACTATAAATTATGGATGAGCTTCTGTTTATATATGCAATCTTTTAGCTGTAAAATAAAGACCACTAATACAGCACTTAGAACCCACCAGGATGCCTGCACTCCATCAATGTTTAAATGGGATACAACATGCCAACTGGTCGTTTGTTCTCACTGGCAGTGATGTATGCGGGGGGAATGGACGGAGAGAGCAGAGAAGCATCCTCCCCCGCTCCAAGCTACTCCAATCCCAACATGGTACAGCCTTTGCTCATTGGTAATGAGAAACAGATGGTGCCATCCATCCCTTTTTATGAGATGAGAAAATAAAATATTCAGCCTTGGATCATTATTTTTAGTATGGGCAAGGAATTGCAAAGAAATCCAAGAGGAAAAAAAGGAAAGGACAATATCTGTAGCTACTACCACACCACAGCACTGCAGTTAAATAGTCAATAATGTATTTCAGGGAGATACGCTGTGTGTATGTTCCTTAATATGAAGATCAATAGATTTTGCACCAGCCAGGCAGGTCTCACACAGCTGGTTGCTTGGCACCGTGCTGCCCCCAGCTCACACAGCCCAAGTTCTTTGCATACAGCATCTACCTCATACTGTAAAGAAGCAATTCAACTTATTTCATGATGATTTCAAAGCAAGTGATTTTGGATGAGCAAGGAGGTAATGCAGGGCTTTCAGAGCCCACTGGAAGTTTCTGGATGATATGGGTGAGATACACAAATAACTGCGATGAAAAACAAAAATTGCTTGGCAGGTATAACCACACAGTTATATCTGGGATTATTAGAGCTCCCCCCACACACACTGTAAGCAGGTGATAATAAAATGCAATGCAGTAATAAACAAGGGGTTCTAAAGGCCAGTGTTACAGCATGCAGCTGCCCTAAGTAACAGTATGCTGCTAGCTTTATTGTGCTAGAGAAACCACATGCATTATCTTCTACATAGAAGGCAAACAAAAATATTTGCTCTAAGATAAATTTCCGGTATTAAATGATGAATCCTAACTGCCTTAAGATTTGTTATCCTTACCTCCCTTTCCTCTGCATGTTTGTCTGTCTGTTAATCATGTTTCTTCTTCCGTTTTATTTAATCTATCCTGCTTCTGCTTGCTTTAAGTACTAATTTGCTTGCCAGGTAACAACGAAGGTCTTAAACAGAGTAAACTTTACTTAAATAATGCTTATTGGGAAACAGTTTCATGTACATACCTAACCCAGTAACAGCCAACTTGGGTAGCTCTGATAGATAAAAATGCACTTTTTATGCTTCCCTTAGGGTTGTTGTGGCCACATGGTCTACAGAAACCTTGGTTACACTAGGATCACCTGCCCTAATAAATCTGTTGCAAGAGCCCTCGTTAGCTGTGACAGGTAATAATGCAAAAGGTTTTTTATCGTTACAGGCCGATCTCGCCTCAAACTACGCCAGCACACACAGCTCAGTGGCAGGATGTGTACACAAATCGAGTCTGGGTTTTTGTGGTCAACATAATGTCCTCAGTTAGGAAATAAGAAAAATTCTCTTACTGCAGTGCAGCCCATGAAGATTTGCTGTTACAAGCTTGGAGACAAGAGTTCCAAAATCCACCTGGGAGGGTGTAAGGAGTTTTGCCTGGAAAGGGCATATGATCATAGGGCCTCTGCCAGCTTCCGTAGGAACTAGGTTTTGCTTTGGAAAGCAGAAAATACATTGCAATTCTTTCCACAGAAAAGGTAACTTTCTCAAATGATATACAGAGGAGAAACTGATGCAGTTTAGTTCTGCAGATCTCCTGACAGATGCACGCTTGCCATTCACAGCTGAACGTAAGCAAGCTCAGGAAAAGGAATTCGGGCTGTTCCACTACTGCTGATGAGAATCAAGCAGGCTGTAACTGCTCTACACTCTGCACAAATTGCCTTTCACTACACTTTCCAGTAGACCCTTTCTTAGAGCTTCTGTGACTATTTCTGCTAGCCTAAAAGGCTACGGTAACTGCAACTGTATTAGCTGTGGGAACAACTGGAGCTTTGCTACCTTCCCAAGGGTATCTGATTATACTAAGAAAATTCTTCTTTACTCAAAGCAAAGCAAAAATAAATATGTGTGCTCTTCAAAGGACAAAAGAAAACAATAAAACAAGAGTAAAGCACTTGAACACGCTCACCCTGACTTGTGATCACCTGGTTAACAGCGGCAGCTTAAAAGCATTACTCCTTCAACTTGGAAATAGGTGGGGTATGACAATGTGAATCTGTATCTCATCAATTCTGGCTTACAGTCTTATATTCTGGCATAGATCTATTTTCACTGGCTGTGTAAGCCAGCAAATTGAGCTATGAGCTAAGGCACTGCACACGTTCAATTCTTGTGGTTCTCCTCAGTGAGAGAGAGGTGGTTACTGGCCCAGTAGCAGGACATGGGAGCAGCAGCTTAAACCGCTGTACCAAAACGCACTGGAACTCAACTGTCACTGCCCTCCCTCTCCGACTGGGAAACAGCCTATCCAGGCCTATCACTTATTTTCACTTCTTTTCCCCTGCTGCTTTTCTCAAAATGTTACCAATACAGCTTGTCAGATTTTCTTCAGCTTATAGCAGAAGCTAAAGGCACTGTGCAGAGAAATAAGTGAAAGGAGGAGGAAATACTCTTTAGTGTAAGAGATAATCAGCGCTCTACAGTTGGGTTTACTTTTTTGTTGGTGGTGGTGGTGGTTCTCTTTCAGATGTGTAAGGATAAAAGAAGCATTACAGAATCTAACACTGTACGAAAGACAATGTAACACTCAGCAAAAAGCCAAATAAAAAGTAAGTGAGCATAAAAGCTGTTTTAAGGAATAAACACTGGGGCATTGAGTCCCATTACCATTCAAATCATGCACCGAGATTGCTCATATCACAAACTTAGTCCTCCCGTACGTACTCAGCCATACAAGACAGTGTCTGTGATGTGCCTCCATGGCCCATGATGTGCTAGGAAAGCATGCAGCTGAGCGACAGCTTACCCAGACGCAGGTTTAATTCTTGTTCTCTGCACGTCTCTATGTACCACTCCAGGCAGTAACTATACTTATCCATGATCTCAATCCTCCTGGTTTGTGCAGCAGAAAACATCAATAGTTGTGCTAAGTCACTCACCCATAACGTGTAGGACCCTCTGCGGCTCCCCGGAAAAGTCAGCATACTCTGATCTGAGACAGCAACAGACGCCAGGCCACTGCTCCTGGATGGTGGCCATTCAAAGTCAGCCTCCGCCTGCTCACTTTTGCTTTTCTGCTTCTTTATAATCTGCAAGGGAGGGGGGCAGGGGGTGGGAGGGGAGAAAAGAAAGGTGCTTGGACAATACTCTCTGCGCCGTATGGCTACATTAACGCTGTCTCAAGGCAAACTGCCTAGGAAGAACGTTTGAGTTTCCCTTTGCTTTTGCTCCAGTTCATGCAAGGACAATTCTGACAACTCGCACGCATTTCTTCTCATCCGAAGTCTTGTGGTTTGCAAGCATCTCATTATCGATACAATAAATCACAACCAATGACTGTAGGAACACCAGAGGTGAATTAAACAAACATGGAAACCTGTTCCTACAGTAAGTAACACTTTAAACATTAGCAGCATCTAAGTGTGAAGTATTTTCTCAGACAAGAATTTTTGGAAAGAAACATAAAATACGAGATAGGAGGGGAATTTCAAAGGCTCCCACGACATCCAGACACATTTCTACTGGAGACAAAGAGGTCTTAGCTGTCTAGGCACTATTTTTGATTTAGAAAATCTACACCACCTTAAGAGAGAGAGCAGATCATACAGACTACTTGTCTCCCTACGCTGACAGACTATATCCTGCTATACTTCATTTCTACAACTTTTCTGACTCCAATTTAAAATACCTACAGAATATTAGTCTATGGCATAAAAGATCTTGTCAGGCAGCTTTTGACAAGAGTGGTAACGATTCAAGCTTAGATGAGACAGGCTCTGGACTATCTAAGACCCGATAAGCAGAATAAATCTTTTAACATGCCTGTTAATAAAGAAGGCAGATTATTTTCCATTGAGCTGTTGCTCTTCTGGCTTTTCTTGACAGCCTTATAAACAACATGTTCCTCCTCTGGTGTGCAATCCATACATTGTTAAATGCCACATCCCATATGCAGTTGGCTTAGTTCACATGGAAGGAGAGTGGCTTAGCAGAGTGGTTACTTCACTGATCACAGAGCTCAGTAGCACCCTGTTCATGCTCATCTTGCCTTGCTCCAAACCGTCCAGACACACTCGAGGGTATTTGTTCCCACTAGCCCTCCATTTCTGTGCTGCATCAGTGCCAACTGTGAGCTTCACCGAGCGAATGAGCTTTCTGGAAAAGCCACACCAATCAGACACACATTGGGTTCTGAGATTTTTTGGGTGTCTCTCTCACAGCATCACTAACAGAACACTGTTTGAGTAATCAATGCTTTCTTTGTATGTGTTGCAGATGCAGGTTTCAGCAGAGGGTATAGTCAAGAGCCATACTTCCTTATATTGGAAAACTCCATGCCTTTTGAGAAGTGAAGTACAGATGTAAAATTCCATTGATCAGGGGCTGCCTCCTCCAAGCAAGGATATCACAGACCTGAGGGAGTGGCACCTCTCAGCTCTGAGGGTGTAGACCATCGTTTTAGGCATCGGATCAAGCTTATTTATAAATTGATTTCCGTCAGATGTGGCTGATTAAGCCTATACTGTGATAGTTGAAGTTTTAACTTTTCATTTACTCTGCTTTCTACATTGGTGCCATCCTTTTTCCTGTCAGCAGTTAAAGCTCACCAGACTGAAGGACTCTGTTTTGGCTACTAAACAAGCTAGGGAAAAGACACGTGCCATACCTTCTGCACAATGGTTGTGGCCAGCTCTTCTATGAGGTCCTCCTTGTGTTCCTGCAAGTAGCAAGCCTCGTTCTGCTTGTCCTGCATGAAAATGGATACCTGCAGTTGCTAGAATCACATAAAACCAGCCTTTCCACAGAAATAGATCAGGAAGTGAGTAATATAACCTACTGGCACTGTGGGAAGAAATTACAGTTTCCTTACATTGCATGTTCCCTTCTGAAATGCAACATGCATCTTGGGTATGAGTTCACAAAACCCACACCCAACTCATTATGTATGGCATGAGAGTCACTACTTACGTTTTCTTTTCTATCTACCTGTTTTTGTACCATTACCCAAATGAAAAGAAACATAATTGTTCTATTTAAATACATTGTTTTTTTTTAAAAAAAATGTTACCAGGCTGTCACTGTAGGTCTCTGCCTTAGAAATAGCTTCTTCCACTGCTTCCTCTGCAACACGTAAGGCCACAGCAAGGGTATCCATCATGCTGTGTCCTAGGTGAAGAATAAGATAAAAGCACCATGTTCTTTACATATGTACATTTTGCATAATGAGCTCCAAAATTCAGATTCATACGCTGGACGTACAGTCCAGCCTTAAGTTGTTCATGACAATCTCCTCAATCCATAATTATGCACAGTAAAATAAACACCTTAAGACAGAGAAATTTGTCAAAATCTCTGTTACTTCTTAAATGTAAATATTGAATACAATAAGCCACAGTATTTTTATGTTGCCTATTTTAGAACCCAGCAAAATCGTTAGGAGGAAATTATGGGAAAAAATTTTGTGAACTTTCTATAAACACCAACAAAAAAGTATATGAGCATAGGAAAGGAAATGAGAGACAAGTAACAAAAACTGATGTTTAAGAAAATCACACTGGAATAAGCATGTCTTAGCTGCAGTACTGAAGCAAGACATCCCAGCATGGTACCCAAAGGGATTTTTTGTATCTTGCTAAATGTTTCAGATAAAAGACTGTTGGATCTGTGAAGGCGACAGCAGCACTCTAGACTGTAATTAAAAGTGTTGGACTGTTTTTTAATCAAACAGGTTTTTAGCAGCATACCTTCTGTCTGTCGGTAGAATGTAGAGTCACTGCCACAAATGCTTCCTTCATTTTCAAAGCTTCCTTCAAAAATGCCTCCTTCTGCTCAAAAAAGACAGTAACATGCGGTCGTTAGTATAAGAAGTACCCGTTAAGAGTGGAGGCATTATTAGGTTAGAATATTCACTCAACAAGATATGGTGGCACTGCACACAAAGAGGGATAACCACAAAATTCCGCCTACCTTTCGTATAATCCATGACTGCAGCAGCTTTTTTACAAAACATGTCTGCTTTTATATGAAAGACCTCATTCATTTTGGATGGGGAAAACTCTTTGTACAGTGAAAGAGAGCGAGAGAGGAAGAAGCTACTAGGTATAAAACTTACATAGTAGAAGTTAAGTACAGGAAATTGCCTTTAATGCGACATTTGGGGATGAAATAGATTCTACATTTTAAAGGGCAAAGCTGTATAAATAAGCTCAAACGCAGACACATATACTAGTATTTATCTCCAGAGGGAACAAAAGGTTTACCTAACAGTCACAGGGAGAGCAGAAGAAAGTTAGCAATGACATTTAGACTTAAAGGCCTTCCGCAGAAAGGTCTCACGGAGAGCGCACATGCCACTGCAACTCATCATTGCACTGTTCACACTTCCATTCAAGGACAAACTCAATGAGACCATCTCCTAAGTAATGGCAACACATCATGCTAAATTCCGAAGGACCCATCCCCACAGCTTTTAATTCCATTGTCCCACTTCTGCCTTCACTGACATGGATTTTCCTCTCTTCATACTTATTTGTTCTCAACTGTTCAGAAATCTTCTCCAGAAAAATGAATTTGATACAGAAAAACTAAAAAGACTAACAACTCAGAATTTAATGCATAGGCCACTTCTCCCTAGAAGCTTTTATGCCAATTTTCATAAAAACACCTAAAATTTTCACTCAGGACTAGGGCGTCCGCTTACCACCCTATACAATTTCAGGAAAAGACACAGACTATAGAAAAAGTACAGTCTCTGTACAAATTTCAAAAGAATTACATTAGGAAAGTATCTGGTCCAATAAATTCAATGAAATCTCAAACCTTCAGCTAGCTGTGTTTTAAGTAATCTGCTAAAGCTACCAGTATGACACCAAATATCACTTCTTCTAACCCATTTTATATGTCCAATTATTCTTACGGGGTGAGGCACTGTAACACCATAGTTAAGGGAGAATTGTGTGCCTCTGTTTAAAAGGATGACACCAATACTTAATCAGCATCTGTCAACCATTTAAAAATATCAGTAAAAAATAAGATATGGCCAATTTCAGATCCTTAAGTGGGCAAAACTCTAAGTGACTACAATATAAGTTTTGGTCAACTCTGGATAGTGAATGTACCCATTCTTAACCAAATATTGCTTCAAACACCATGGAAATGTGCTCTAAGGCCAAATGTTGAACGCAAAATTATTTTCTTATTCTTTGAGTACTCAGAACTGTGATAAATTTTGGGACACAGGCTAGAATACAAACTGCAATTTGCTTTACAGACTGAAGATAACAGTTCTTCTGTATCAGCAGCATAATTAAGATTAAACATCCTTTGAATTCTTAAACAGCTTTCTAGACATTTCATAGAATCACAGAATGGTTAGGGTTTCGCCTCTTTTTTCTCTCCATTGAGGTATTTCTTTTATTAAAAATATCCCTTTTGTAATAATCTGAGACTTTCCATTGTCTCAGCTTGTGTGTTAAAGTAGATAAGCTAATAGGAAACCAACACAGCTGTTCTTACCTATTACATCGGGACAAACTCCGCTCTCCAGTCTATGCTTCTTGTATAAGTTCTTCAGGACTTTGGCACTTCCAAAACACTTAAAGCGGCTTTTGACATTATTATAATACCAATCCAGAGACTGGGTCCTTAGAAGCCTAAAACAGAAAAATAAACTACATATTTGGAATGATTCTACAACAAACATCAACAGTTTACATAAAAAAGGATCTTTTAAGCCTCAGAGCATAAACATATTACTTTCTGAATAATATTTGTACTTTGCAAGTGCCCTGTATACTGGGGGTGGGGTAAGGTAATTCTTAAGCAGCTATCTGCTTATGTCTGCTTCACATTACTCAAGGTTTTGTTTGGTTTTGCCGCTCTCCTTTTACATTACAAGGCCAACACTACATCCTTTGGAAAAAAATAAACAAGCTTTGAAATGGCACAGGAAGGTTTTAAAAATAGCCATTATTTACACAGATTTACAGCTAATGTCAGAACATTAGCCCATCAATGCACCAGAAATAATAACATTTTCATAAAAAAATATCTCACTGCTTTTATCTGGGGAACAAATAGAGTAGACAAAGCCTAATTAGAGGACCTCAAAGCAGAATGAGCCAAGAATGGTAGGCAGACAACCTTTTTATGGGGAAGGACTCACAATGGCAGTTTGGTTTCCTACTTTCAACAGTAAGCATCGCTGACATCAGTAATGCACCCTAACTGATTTGTCCCAGAGCTCAGACAGTTTTACGAGACACTGTCAAGCTCTGTATTCCTTCCACATGGCAACGGGCTCCTGCTTCAGCTGTTACTTCAGCAGTGGGTGGAGAGAACCTGCGCCATACTCCCAGGCAACACGGCCACGGGGTAACCCTGCAGGCTAACGCACGGCGGATCCCCACGTTTCCGACCCAGGGTGTCACTGGAGAGGGGGATCCTAGGGTTCCACCTACAAACTAAAGCTGACTCACCCAAAAGCCTCCAGGAAGGAGAATTAAACCTCATCCTGAGTGTTTGCTTCCCCATTTGAGCCCTCTTCTTCCCCTGCACGATGCCCACAGCAATTTATTTTTAATTAATATACTCCACTTACATGGCAGGAACCAAGACAGTTGTATAGGACATGGAAACATTTCATACAGAACAGTGTTTAGTGTAGGCTGCAAAGGTAATTTCCCTTCTGTAATAATTACAAAAATCAGCGTCTTGGAACTAGAAGCCCTATGGAGCTTGTTACATAACTAAGCAAAGAGCTGATCCTTAACACCAAGATCTTAGGGAACAAAAGGCTAAGGTTAGTGTCCGGTGTCAATACCTGAACCCCTGAAGAGTTGATGTCACCAGCAGGAGTGCTGGACTCTCAGCACTTCCAGACCTGAACACATTCAGACGATTTAATTCTGTTTATTCAACCTGGAGTTGTGGGTGAAAACCAAAATAAAACGAAAGCCCCACTGTAACCTTTACCTTTTCCTCCAGGGACTCTGGACTTCTCTTTATAAACTGACAATCCACAATTGTTGTTTAACACACACCATTTCATATGCAAATAGTATCTCACCCACTGACAGACTAGCAATGTAGTTCTTACTCAGAAGTGAACCTCTGGGGATACTCTTCAACAAACAAATATGCTGACCCTCGGGTTTCAACTAAATGCTCCAGTCCGGCTATGGATTTCTTGAGTTTCAGTATACTGCTAAAAAGGAATGTCCACTTCACATAAAGCAGAACATCATGGCAAAGCCCACTTCTCTGTCACCACTGGAAACTGTTTAGTAGCAAACACCAGCCGTGGGAAATTTAAAGTAAAAATCAATGAAGCCTATTGTATTCAAACTGTGAGCTGTTAAAATTACATTAGGTGCTCCACTGAAGGCAACTGAAGAAAAAGCACATAATGGAACAGAAGCATATTTTTTCTGTATGCTGTGTCAGCAACTAGATGGAGGATAAATGTTTACAGATAATGTAATAATATTAGCTCTTTACTATCCATGTGCTCAGTGATACCCCAAGCCTAACTGTGGTTCCCAGGAGGCTGATTAGGAATTCCCATTCTACAAATATCAGAAATATTAATAACATGTGACAAGGGCAAAAATCCTTTTTTTTCTGGAGAATGTCCTTACACACTGTGCAAGATGACCGAGGCGATGAAGCACCAGTGGCTGGTGACAGAGCACGAGCAATGGGAAGCATGCCTAGGTCTGACTGTGAATTACAGGCTTTCTGAATTCCTAGAAGGCTGTCTCCAAGAAACGTTTTATGATGCCTGTCCCAGTCCTGACCCACTGACCAGGCTGCTGGCACAGTGATGAATCTGTGACCGGAAAATGTGAATTTCTCTCCCAAGCCTGCGATTCTTTGGCCTTTTGAGCACCTGCCTTTGCTGTGGCCAGGAACCGTTTGCTCTCATGGAAACTGTCAGAAAGGAACAAACAGTTTTCCACTTGCTGCATTGGATTCACTTTTGCTCCCTGAGTTTCTACAGGTGCTGGGAGTTTAAGATTTCAGTCACCAGCATGGAGTCGCCACCATTGTGAAGAAATTAAGTCTGCATGACTGGGCTGGAAGCCACTTAGCAGGAGGTAGGGGCCAGGAAGGATATTTCACCCGACGTCTTCTCCACGCTGTCCACAGAGTAGTATCACAGCACTATCACCACTGGTGGACTCATGGCACCTTGAGTCGCAAAATACATGGCTTTAGGGCTTTCAGGATCCCTACCAACTACCTCAGCACGCTTACCAAGCAACCTCAGCTCCACTAGCACAAAACGCTGCACCTGTCACCTTCTTGGAAGCCAAGCAACCTCAGTTCTTAGCGTTCAGACCAAGTGACACGGTACCGAACGCAGAGTCACCCGTCTTACTGCACACACCGCCTGAGTTAGGACAGTCGGTTCTGAACGCTGACCTGGCAACCTGGAAAAAAATGAGAGATGGACCCATTGCTTCCCCATCTTTTTTCACTATTTTATCATGTTTTTCTGGGGCTGATCAGTGCTGTTTCTGTGAAAACAGAAAGCTAACAGCACGTACTTCTTACTGAGGTGAGAGTACTTTGGAACCAGCACACTTTTAGAGACAGTCTCTGTATTTGCAATTTTCTGTATGTGAACTCTGGGAGAGTCAAAAGGATAGGAGTTTATACATCTCAAAGCAACGAGAGACATTTGCCTCTTTGTACCAGTTAATCTGGTGTAAACACAAGGATTGGGATCTTTTTTTATAATTAAACTTCCTCATTGCTGCAGGATTAACACTTTGTGAGCAATCTAATCATCTCATGCTTCTCTCCTAATGTTGGAGAGCTACCAACAGCTCCAAATCTATGCCTCTGTCCTGCACACGCTTCATAGCAGATTGCAAAGCCTCTTCTAAAGGTTTTCAGGCTCTTAACTTTCAAATAAGTCACAATGTCCCTGCTGATTCCTCCTGGGGAGAAAGGATTTGGAGAAGAAAGTAGTTCTCTTATTGACACTAAAATAATGGAGCCACACAAAAAGGAAATAGGAGCATTTTCACCTTATTTCAAAATCCTCTAATGTTGACCTGTATTTTAGAGCTGTATTCTGCAAAAGCTGTCCATGAATCTGAATAAAGAAAGACTCAGACAGCGCCAACATTAAATTGTTAAAATGAAACACTTATTACCTCTAATTGAAAGTGTGCAAGTTCTCTCTGTGAGATGAAAGTTCCCTTAAAGGATTATTAGTTGCATTTGAAAGATGCAGGAATGGCTGAAGCCACTTCTCTCTCTTTCTGTGCCATAAAGACTGCTATGTCTTTATTGCTAGACTGCCTCAGACACTAAGGACATCATTTATCTTATATAATGTTGCCATGGAGTTGATTGCATTTTGATGTGCTGTTGGAGGAGGGGAATACTGTGATTTTTAATTTGTCTGAAAACTAGGCAGACACTTTTGGTCTAATAACATTAAAACTTGAACAAGTATTATAAAGCCCCTGTCTTTTTTAGTGCAGCGACGTGTTTGCCTTAATCAAGTAGCACCGTAAGAGCAGTAGATAAGCCCTTTAAAATCTTTACAAGTGGTTTTCAGTGCACTTCTCACCTACAGCACCCAAATATCCAATTTTTAGCCTTCTCCTGAGAAAAAGAAGTACACGAGCTGTGCTGGGAGCAGCAACATGAACCATCTCTCTATTAGTGACAATCACAAAAACAGCACGTGAAAGATGCCACTCACACATGACTACAAGTATTCACTACTCAATACAGAGGAGGTTGTTTAGTGACTGATTTACCTCTATTTTTTTTTTTATTCTTCTAAAAAATTGTGAGGTTTTACTTGGTGTAAAGGCAATATGAAGCTTCTGCCATAAATTTTCTCGAAAAGGTAGTACCTCCTTAATGTTTATGACCTTAATCTCTACTCATAAAGCAAGTTGAACTACAAGGAAGCATTTTATAACAACAACATTTTTCCATGAACTTTGTGAGAAGTTTTCTCCCACAAGAAGAACTTGTTGCTTACTGATCTGCAGTCTAGTTTCTGTAAGTCAGGAGGTGCTCCTGGAAATCAGACCGAAATGTCAGACCGAATACATAATCACTTGGAGTCTCCTTGCTGTTGACTTACACTGGAAACTGAAGACTCCTTTTCAGCTTTCCACTCCTAACTTAAAGGCATCTTCCACAGATTTGTGCCAACAGCCAGGCCAGTAAACTCTTCTAGCCTCTCAATCTGACTCCAAAATCAGAGCCAGAAACTTCACCTGCACATCACCAGCTGTTTGTACAAATGGTTATGCCAAAGAATTTGTATTTCTGAGCTCATCTCCGTATCTGTATTGTGAAATGTTAGACGCCACTCTGCTAGAGCCTCTTACGTTGGCTTGAGATGGATGTGTCCCCTGCAGCCCCAGCTGCCAGCTGAGCCTCTTGAGACTGACTCTGCCCCCCTCACCATATATAACCTTTGCCATCTTTCTACAAGAACGATGGGAATCACGCTGCGGGCTAAATGACACTATCATCTCCCTGTAGCCCCACTGATTCTGTCGATGGTTCACGATGTGTTAAGATACTGGAAATCGGACTTTATGACCTTTAGGTAGATAATGACAGTATAATCATCAGAGTAACATCCTTAAATATAATTTTATATTTCCT